ATGCGTGTCCATGCCCCCCCGCCCACTATTGCTTCCTTGCGCCTCCCTACTGCTTCCTTGCCTCCCACCGCCCTTTCTTTATTCATGGGTTGCATTTTCTAAATAAAAGTATTTAAAGGCTGCCAATGCATGCCCACGCCCCCCGGCGCCCTCACCGCCCTCACCACCCCCACCACCCTTGCCGCCGGCCACTACTCCACCTTAGTTTTACCCATTGCTTGCATTTTCTAAATAAGAGTATTTAAGGGCTGCCAATGCGTGCCCATGCCCCCCCGCGCCCTCACCGCCCTCACCACCCCCACCACCCTCACCGCCCACAGTACCACCCCTACTGCTTCCTTGCTTCCCCAAGAGTATATGTAAAGGCTGCCAATGCATGCCCATGCCCACCGCGCCCCAGCACCCTCCCCGCCCACAGTACCACCCCTACTGTTTCCCTTTCCACTCCACCTTTCTCTTACCGACTGCTTGCATTTTCTAAATATAAGACTATTTAAAGGCCGAAACCCAAATAGACAGGTGCGGCCTTCAGGGGTCGGCGGCACTGGCGGCAGCCATTAAATATGTTTGAAACCTCTCTGCAAGGGATGCTGGTCGCTTTGCTCATCAGCAGTCTCCCGAGTGCTTCTGCACATGAGCTCTGGCAGTATGCTAGAAGTCGGCGGTCTGAAGACGGGAGCCCAGGCCGCGGCCAATTTCAGACCCGGTTCCCGAGGAGATGAACGCGGCTGAAAAACAGCAGTCTGGCCACCAATTGAAGCATGGCAGTCTGGCAGAATTGAGCCCTCTAGGCACGGCCACAGAGCGTCAACAAACCCTGCGAGTCCTCGTAACTCAGGTAGGTGCGATTCGTGAAGACCTGAAACAAGACACTGATCGCAATTCCCCGCCACTTGTACCGCATCTTGCCTGCTACACGAGCTCTTTGCACTTTTGAACTGATGTGGCGCTCGTGATCTCACGGGTTTGCCGAGATGCATACAAATCCAAGACCTCTGAGGGTAGACCCTTCAGGACTTCCTCCAGCTCCACGGTTAGCTTCAGCACGAAGACAAGCCAAACCGACCTTTGAGGACTCAAGCTTACCGGAGGCATCAATTGGAAGTGCAGCTTGAACAAGTGCTGAACACAGCTTGCCATCTATGCGACTTAGGCTGTTCACATCTGTGGCTGTGGTCTCTGGCGAGTCTGTGGTGCGTTTCTGCGTCATACACGCAATGAGAACAGCTCACTTCGATTTTGCGAGAGCTGGATGGGAGAACTATCATGCTCGGCCGAGACACACGCATCCTATTCCAACTGTCACGTTGATCCAGTCCACGACGTTCCAGAACTTCAAGTAATCCTGCCAGCAGGGGAATCTTGCAAAGAGGCATCGGAAAGCAGGACTAGAATCTAGAATTCAGACGAAAGAGCGAAAAGGGACACGTGCCTTGATGCCATCTAGGCCATTCATGGCTGCCGGAATGGCTTCCTTCAGCTCCGAATAGAGGATGCTCGTTAGCCTCACATGCCGCCCGAAGTGGCTATCGACGGGCTGAGAAAGCATCCGAGAGGTCTCCCGAAACTGTCTTCCCCAGCCAAGTGGAGCAGGTTACGCCAAGGGTCAGAGTCAGGAACATGAGGTCGGGCAGCACCAGAGCCAGGTTGTAGTACGGTGCAGCGTAGAATGATTCGCGCATGCCTCGATCTCTAGGTGAATCAAGTCGTGCAAGCATAAAGAAAGGCACCGTGCCAGAAACCTAGGTAGCACGCATGGACCATCCACACGTGAAGCGCAATGGATACGCACCCGAAATGTTGGCCGCAAACGCTTCTCGTTTCGCGTCACCCGTGAGGCCACCAAAACAAATCGCGTCGAGCGATGGCTGGTAAGAAGAAGTGCACAAGCCGCATCTGCAGCTGCAGTGGTTTCCTGACCGACCCGCTCGACCCGTTCGGCTCACATTGACCGTCTCGGCACGATCTACATCGCGCTTCTTGCTGAGCACAGCAACCTGACTTCCATGAACAGTGAATACACTGCTAAGGGCTAGAATAACTAGAACGGTAGGAAAGCTTTCGGCTGCATCTCTTGGCGAAGCGATGGCAAACCACAGCCAGAAGTGAAACTCCGAACAGCGTGTTGCGAGATGAGACGAGCAAAAGCCATGTCCAGAAGCGCAAGAGCGCAGAAACTCAGTGTGTGCAATGATTGTAAGTCTGTGTCGGAGTAACGGAAGCGTTGTTGATGCTTAGCCTCAAGGCTTTAAGCTTAAAGGGTTGCTTCGTGAATATTGCATTAGCTGACTGACACACTGAAACGACATGCTTCGGGTAAAGCACAACCTTCAAGTGGTGATCCCGGGCCAGTATTTATGCAAAGTAACTGTCAACAGAATTTCAATCGGTAGTCCCAAGCAGCGTCAACGGATGAGTCCAGCATTCGGTTTTTTTGCTCAGCCAAGAACCACCAAGAGTGTGGGACAAACACAAGTCTGAGTCTCCGCAGAGAGGCCTGGTCGCTGGATGAGGTAGCCGGCAGTTGACCACTCCAGCCGCATGTTCTGCATCGTGAACACAACCTGCCCGAAGGCACGTTGCTGCTTTCTTTGTTATGACATCTCTCCTGCTTATGGGTATTAAAGCTACCTAGTTTTGTTCACTCCTGAATTCGGTGCTCGGAACGGGCGAAACTGCTCGTCCCACGAGGCAGCAAGAAGCTCAGACAGAACTAGACGAGACTGGTACGATAATAGGAACTGCATGGAACTGCAGCGGTACTGAAAATCAGTGTCTTTCAGGCAACAGTCACGAAGGTCAGCTTTGCTCCAGCCCTGACCCGTGTGTGTCAGCCGAAATACCCAAGCATCGAAGCAGGGTCCTATCAAACCCCCTGCAACCGAAAGACGCCGCGATTCACACGCTTCGTCTTGAACAGAATGTAGACTTAGAAATCTTGCAAAGAAGGAACTGACTTCTTTTCACGAATTGGTGGGCCGAGTGTCATGCAACCCAAGCAATCGATGGACCTGGTGGGCATTGTACGTGAAAATCTGCAAATCTAAGAACCTTGGCCGCAGATCTTTCACAGCTTTCGGAAATGCTGCAATATGCGCTTGGAAAAGCGGTGAAACATACATACATACATACATACATACATACATACGTACGTACGTACGTACGTACGTACATACATACATACATACATACATATACAAACATATACATACATATACATACAT